AGTGGAATAAAAATAAAAGGCAAAATTTGAGAGAATTTTCTCTTTCTTTCATGAAGTCATCTTTGGGGCTGGGGGGGGGGGGGCGTATATAAGTACATGTACATGCATAATGGAGGAAAAACAAATTTATCAGGGTGTCCAATTGACTTCAGGGTTGAATTTTTACTGCCTTTTTTGCCCCATTGTAACTAGCCAAATACAGCAATAGTTAGGCCTTGGTGTATCATTATAAGATGATTTGAGACACTGCCATAGTTATATAGTTTTCTCTCTCTCTCTCTCCCTCTCTCTCTCTCTCTCTCTATCTCTCTCTCTCTCTCTCTCTCTCTCTCTTGCTCTCTCTCTCTCTGTCTCTCTCTCTCTCTCTCTCTCTGTCTCTCTCTCTCTCTTCTCACTCTTTTTCACACACTCCATTCTCTCTCCCTCTCTGCAGCCTTCCTCTATTTCTTTATACATCTTAATTTCCAATGATATCCACCATTCTCTCTTTCTTGCTATTTCTTTGAACGATAACTTCCCTGCCAGGGGGAATAAACATGAAACCACCTTTTTCCTGTTTGAAAACTTCAAGGGTTATTCTTTGTCTAGCACTCCAATAGACCCAGATATATGCTAGGCTTTCTCTGCAGACAGATATAGCACTCTTTGCACTTTTTAACTTTTCAATTCTTTAATTGCATGTTCAGTTTGGTTTTTAAAGCAGCAGCAACAAAAATGTTGATCTCTAGAGTATTAATTCTTGTGACATAAAACTGTGACATAAAACTGATCCCTTTTTTCTACATGTCCCCATAGACAATTTGTTATTTTGAAGACAATGCATTTGTATGTGCACAAACTGTAATCACTATCTCTTTTGCAAAATGATAAAAATATTGGTGCCTTCTCAGCCTGTATATTGATATAATTCCTCTGTTCTGAATAGGCTCCTGCAAATATGAAATATTATGTAAATAACCATTCTCCCCCAAAATACAATATATCTCATGAAGCTTGCTTACTTTAATATTCCCAAGCTGCAATCAACTGTTTATCAATGTCTTGCAGCTGTAGACTATTTCTAGCACATAACAAATTAAAGTAACAGGACTATTTGTTCCGTCATAGGACACTCACTTCGTCTATATTTAATCTGACTTATTTTCTTCTTGTCAGCTCTTTGTGTCTCTATCATACAGTGAGTCGGCATGCAATAGAAGCCCATCTCAAGAGCCCTTCATATGTGGGTTATGTATGAACTAGGTTAAGAAAGAGGTAGTCTGATCTTGTTCCAACTTCATCAAAAATCCATCTCTGTGTCGATCGTCGGGACAGATTGGGTTATGGGGGTTGATCAATAGAGGGGGTTCTATTTCTTTGATATTGCTTTGTGGTGTTAGTTGTATCGGTGAGAATGATCAAGGGAGGATAGCACCGTCTGTGGTACTCTCCAGTCCTGCTGATCAGTTTGATTTATTATTAGTAACACATGTATATAGCTTTCATTTATTTTAGGTTGGTGAATCAAATATACAGGGCGTGAGCCAAGCTATATGTGCAAAATAAATAGTGGGCCATGATTTTGACCATCATGATTAAATATTTGTCATAGATTGGTCTATCTGAATTGATAAAACCCTAAAAATTGTATAAATGCTGTATGAAGTAATGAATCCAAACATTGTATCAAACATATACTAGGTTACCATTTTGAGACATATTGTATTTCAATAAGCATCTGCTATCATTGAGAAAGTCACAAATATCCATGTTGCATTTGGTACATGTTGGTATTTATGTTTCCTGCTCTTAGAAGTAGAGGTGTCGTGGTTGAGTTGATATATCATCAGACTAGATCACAAGGTCCTGGGTTTGAGTCCCGCTACTGCTCTTATGTCCTTTGGCAAGACAATATTCTACATTTGTCACAATCGACCTAGGTGAGGTAAATGGGTACCTGGTAGGAATTTTCCTTGAAATGCACTGTGCGCTGATAACGGCCGGCTGCCAGAGCTAAAGCTAGGGTAAAACTTCCCAAAGCTCTTTGGAAGCGCATAGGGATGTTATAATGTGAAATGCATTTTAAAAGAACTGATTATTATTATTATTATTATCACTTTTAAAAATATTTTATTGTTTGCATTACATGTATGTTAAATGCTAACTGTAATATTTGCCCTATACTTCTTTTTTTAATGCCACACAGGAAATCATATTTATATTTACATCTGTTTATCTTTTAGTTTTAGACCGAACTGAAAACGGTGGTAACCAATAACTTAGGTTTTACTGGTTTTAATTTATAAAAGTTTCAAATACAGTAGAAATGTTGTGAATTGACATCAACTATACATGCATCTGAGAGTAAATACATAATGGGAATAGATAACAGGTAGCCTGAAATAACCTCCTTTTTTCTCCTTTCATGAAAACAAATATCTGTCTTCATTGTGGATTCTCTAGCAGGAAATGCAATGCTTCAAACAATACTAGCAGGTGACAGCATGGACAATTTTAGAGCTGTTGTTGGATAATTTCCTGCAGACACATAGCCTGAAGAAAACATCATTTACGAGAAATCTTCTGCAATCTGAGAAATGTTCATTGACCACAGAATAGTGCAATATTTCGAAGACGTTTTGCACACGGAAAGTGCAGCATAAGTTGAAATAATCTTTCTGAGGAAATTGCCTGTTTGCGCAGCAAGATTTTCTGTTGACCCCCTCCCCCCCCCCAACCATGTTTGTCCACAGCTGATAAAAGGGAATGGTGAAAATTGAAGACCGTTTGCTGACCAGTCCTTGAATCATAACACTGTGGTTGATGTGAGTGTGAGTGTGTGTGTGTAAGTATAGCAAGTAAGTGATTGTGGATTAAATGTAGCAGCCTATCTGGATATAGTCCTGCTGAGAGCCAAAGAGGCATTCATTCATATACTTTTACAAAGAGTTAATACCCTTGTGCCTCTCACCCATTAAAAGTTGATATCATTCTCTTAAAAATAAAATACAGTCACAGCAAGAACATTTTATATAAAATTTCAAGATTTACATACAAAAAGGAGATGATTTTCATTAGGAATTTGTCCATGTATTTGAAAGAAAAATGTAATTGAGCCCTTAAAATGATTGTAAGAATTCATAGAAAATGATAAAGAAGTTGTTTTGTCACATTGACGCCAGTAGAAGACAGGTTTGCTGCAAATTGACAAGCACAGCTAGAACCCATTACTAGCTTCCATTCTGATATTCTAATCATGAAGACACGGCAAGCTTCTTCACTACCCGTTTTATGCGTCTATTGACGACGGTGCGAGTATACTATCAAACAAGTGACTGATCTTCTGAAGTGTGCAAATAGAGGCCCTGCCAAATGGGTAGGCTGGACCTGAATAGCAATTCTTGAAAAATTTGCTCCTTATCCACTAGCTAGATTATGATCTACATGACATGTCCATCTCCCCAACGTGAAATGCTGAATATTTAATGGTTTCATCTACAGTCTCTTACAATTCGTATTGCATTTTTCACATATAGACATAGCACTTAGGATTCTCAGATATTCTACAGATGGTCTTAGACACATGCTGTGGTGGCAAGTCCTCCAAAATATAGGACACTAACTGTTATCTTAACTTCAAACCAGACCAAATACTACAAACCTAAAACTAATCTAAATCCTAATTGCAACCCCATAACTACCCTATATTTTTGAGCATTATGCCACAGCAGCTCTGTAAATTATATGTATTTTTCATGAGAAAAGATGAGACCCAACGCTTATTTCCATTTCATCTAGACAGTATATACTGACCTTTGACATATGAATTGTATCTCTCTCTCTGACTGCAGAGGATCAAATCAGCTATAAAGTTTATAATGACATTATAACTTATTGCTGATATCTTCATTAATGTACGTTGGGCTCACAAATTGAGTGAGCAAATGATCATGATGAAAGCTAGAGTAGGCATCACACATTTGTAGATGCTCTCTATTGACAAACTTGAATAGTATGTTTGCTCTTGAGTACCGGTCTTTAGAGTTTTACTTCACGCTCATTTCAAAGGGTATCTTTTTAATGATTGAGGACGCTTAAATAATTGGCTCTAACTTTGATTTTTACTTTCATTTAGATTGATTTTTGTGATATTTAGGAAGAATAAATTTTAGCTACTGGTTGGAATAAATTTAGCATTAAAATTTAGATGAAAGAAGATATTCCTACCACCTGTGTTTTCTTCATATACGTTGATATCATTTTATAGAAAGAGAGAGAGAGAGAAAGAGAGAGAGAGAGAGAGGGGGGCATAAATTTGAGGGGAGAGGGAGATGCCGTTAAACATACACGTTTAGGAGTCTTTTATCCCGTAGAAAACTTCCCTATCCATTGATGCTCACTGTATTAATTGAACGAGGCAATGTCTTGGAAACAATGAATCTTAGAATGTTTCATCCCTCAGGTTGAAATGCCTATTCATGAACCAATCAAACAGCTGGTCAATCATTGTTGGCAGTAGTAAGGACATGAGTGAGTTATTTACAGACATCTCGACTCATGCAATTAAACTTGCTCTAATTTTCTGTTCCAATTTCGGAACAGTTCCATATCGGGAGTGACTTATTGACCGTGACTCTGGGCTATGAGTGATGTGGAAGGCAAGATTTGTACAAATTCAAGCCAGCGATTGGGATATGAGATTTAGACGAGACATAGAATAGGTACGGAAGAGGGTCACTTTGTACCAGGATCATATATATGGAAGTGAAGATGAAGATAATAAATGTTTTTGTTGATACTTCAAATCATCTGTCTATAAAAGCTTTTTTCTAATAAAAAACCTAAATTTTCTTTATTTATCACTGGTTAAGACATGTCTAGAAAACATCCGAATGATGAGAGTATGATATCCTACCAGGATCATCTGGAAATTAAGGTGGAGATGATGATGATTTTTGCTAAGATTTCTGATTATATTTCTATAATCCGTCTGATGAAACTTTAATTTTCTTGATTTATCTCAGGGTGAAGTATGTGTGGAAGACATCAGCTTGGTCAGAGTGTGACATCCTACCAGGATCCTCTGGAAGTGAAGATGGAGATGATGATGAAGAAAGAGGACCATGTGGGGGAGGGCTAGCATCTAGAGAAGTCTTCTGCACCCATGTAAATGATACAGGTAAGAAGTTTTAAATATATATTTAAGGCTGGTGTTCATAAAAATTTAGTCCAGGTTTAACTGCAACTAAGTTATGTGCCAACTGTCAATTCTACAGATAAACAGGTGGTAAATGCCAATGATTGTAAAATGGTACGGAACATAAGAATATCTTCGCCCCCATGTCAGAAGTTATGAAAATAATGTAAGTTTCTTGAAACTAATGTCAGATTTAGATGGCAAATGCAATTATTGTAAGTTTATAATTATGAAAGATATAGTAAGATACCATCTCTTCCAATTTTAGGCTGAATATTTTCCAGACTTTTTAACCCTTACCTTGTCCTGCAAGTTATAAATTGTCCATGAAAATCTTGATTTATATTCAAGTACATGTATATCTAAAGTATACAAAAAATGAAACAGAGTTGTACATTTTGTATGGAAGGTATGCATAGTTAATGCATCTATACAATGTTTCATCAGTGTTAGTAATATATGGAATAAATATTTAACAAGCAATATGACCTTGTTTGGATTATAATTATTGTTGCTTCCTGCTGCCTATATGACCTTCATGTTTTAACCAATTTTTATGGATGATTTTAAAGTTCTGAGCAGTTTAATAACTCTGAATCTGGGCATATATATAGTTGATGTCATCCTGAAATTGAAAGTGACAGCTTTATTTCCCTTATTCTTAAATAGCAGTGTTCGCACAACAAAGCGCTAATTAAGATGGACACAAGCCCAAGGCTCTTTTTGAAATCACTTTTTTTAATCAAACACCAATCATTGTAAATTAGGTTTTCTCTGGAATAGAAGAGATGTTATCTGTACTCACAATGGCTTATAGTAGTAGTAATCTCCTCCCCTCTTTTCATCTCTCTGTATGTCTGTTTTTCATACAGATTGTCTTTTTTGTTCTCATCTTTCTCGCTTTCTCTCTCTCTTTCTCTCTCTCTCTCTCTCTCTCTCTTTCTCGCTTTTTCTCTCTCACACATACACACACACACATACCCACACACAAGCAAACACATACTCTTATTCTCCCTTTCCACCCGCTCTCTTTCTCACTCTCCTCCTTTCTCTCTTTCTATGTCATGTGCATACACATATACACATGTCTACATACAATCTCGTTGGTACTTTCTATACAGCTCTGTCTCTCATATAATCTCTCTTTTGTCCTATTTTGCTTTCCTTTCTGCTTCTTTTCTCCTTCTCTTTTTTTCTTCTCTAATTTCTAGATGTACTCAGTATTCCATTTCCTACATTTGTCCATTTCCATATCCCCTTTTAGCCCACCCCATTAACTTTTCTTTAAATATATAATTGCCCCAATGCTACCTTCTGTCCATAAACATCCTTGTTTCCCAAGTATTAGATTATGTATAGCATTGGGAATTGGAACCCATTTAAAGCATCCTGCCTCTCCTCCTTTCCCCTCATTCCTGCAATCAGTGACTACATTCAAACTACTTTCTTACTTTTTGAAGTGTTTTTTAACAAGAATGAGGCAGAAATTACACCTGATTCCCCCTGTGTATAGCAATAAATCTGTGCTGATTGCTCACGATTGTCTTCATTCATTGAAGCTCTGATTTTTAGCAGGACTTTTATGTGCAGTGGCTGAGTGGTGTGGAGACCCCCTACCTCAAGAATTAAGCAACTAATTCAATCAGTGAATCCTACATCTAGGCAATATTCCTATTCCCAGAGAGTTTTTATAATGATTATCTTCCATCCTTAAAGGCAGGAAAATCATGTTCTTCAGTTCTAAAAACAATTGTCTAAAGGAATTGCCATCAATAAAACTGAGATGCTAGTACCTAATTTGGTAGGCCTATCTTTATAGAATGTAAAAAGTGAACATTATTGGCTATTACTGAGTCAGTTCAGGGGTCCTTGCCTTTTAAAACTTCTGAGATATTAGAACTTTTAAAATAGCAAGAAGATTTGTGAATAACATCTCACTGTCTCTAATGCACAACATGTGAATGTAGAGATTTGTTCGCCATTATCTTTGTATGCTTCTTTCATGTACATATTTGTGAAAGCGAATTCCTGCAGTAAAAGAGCTTATAAGATTAGATCAAATAAACCAAGTCAAACAGATTCAACATGTGAACCAATATGGGAATGGATTACGCCTTTAAATCGCCCTCCGAGATTGACGTGAATTAGTTTCATTCAGCGCTAGTATTTACAGACGAATTTCAGTCTGTTTGTGCTGAAATCCCACGTGATGCTGCTGCTGCAGGAAGTATTTGCGGGTGTTATAGACGTCACCGTTTGACATTTTAGGGAGGGAAGGTGTCGTTCCAGCATTCCTTTACCTGGTAGTTTGGATCTAGTCTGCCAAGAGGAGACTTTCATTACTTCTTGTAATGCATCAACAGAATCAATTTTATTCCCAAAATCAACCATTCATTAGTGCATTAGAAATATATCTATGGTTATGCAATCACCAATTACATAGAATTTTTATCGGTCACTTAAGTTTTTTTATTTTTTGAATTATTGCATGAATTCTATAAATGAGACTGAAAACCTAGAAAAGTTCCATTCACCTGCTGCGAAAGTGCATTTGTGGTTGTCGTGGTGATGGGATGATGGTGGGATTTCAATTCTAAGCATGCACTACAGTGGTCCTCTATTTATATCTTTATTTTGAGAGATCCAGGGAAGATGCAATAGTAAGCAAACTAGAAACCATCCATGGTTTTGACTACTCTGTATGGTTTCCTAGGGTTCCAAATCATAGGAAAGTATTGAAGTAAACCTAATTTTTCAATATTATTTTTTCAATATAATCATAATATGGTTTTATTTAACCCGGATAGTTCGCTTAGTATTGGTATTGCTCTTCTTAAGGGCCCTGCAACTGTATTAAAGATAATACATTTATGAGTTAGCCACCTTTAAGATTCACAAAATGGGATATGATGATTAAAGTATTTGAAATCATATAAGATAACTATGATATGCAGTCCTAATTCAGAAGTGTACTTTCCAATATTAGGCCAATTATCTTGCTGTTATTATAGTTTGTTAAAACTTGCTGCATAACATATTTTCACTCTGTACTTATCTTCTTTAATGGGGGTTTGGAATACATTGTTTACCGTCAAAATAGTCAATTATCACTCCGCCTTATCATCTAATCTGGTATTCCTGCACCAGTCATTCCATGATTTTGACAAGTCATCTGATAAGGGAAAATGATCTTGCGGTATTTGCTGCCATGCAGTCATCAAGGCAAGCAGGATGACAGAAGTAATAATTACAAACAATTATTGTCATAACTTAGCTTCATGTTTCATTGGATGGTACTCATCCAGTGAAATAAAAACAACTCTCCCACATAGTAAACAGAAAGCAGTGAGAAGTTGTTAAGAGTAACCAGAGGAATGAAATAACACATCTAAATTATGCAAAGTTAAGCTAACTTGGTAATTGTTAATCTTTTTCATTTTATTTCACTTACACTGAAGACCCTGCTATAAAACAGGCCTTAGTTGATTGAGTAAATACATAAAGTTATAAAGTTGTAAAAGAAAATATTGTCTATTTGGAGACAGAAGGGGATTGAATATATGTTACAAAATATGTCCTAATGCCCTTTTTTGTTCAAATTCAATGAATAAATAGTTTCTATAGTTTTCAAACTTAGCTCCTTATCTTCCCTTCACTTTCTTAACTGCAATAACTGACCCTTTGTCTCTTCTTATTCCGCAGCATCCATGCCACTTCCAGTTGACCTCTGTGACCCTGCAGACCGACCTGGGACCATAACAGACTGCCATGTACCCTGCTCTAAGCCATGCAGGGTGGGCCCATGGACCAGCTGGGGACCATGTATATCATTTGCATGCGATGTGAGAGGGACCAAAAAGGCAAAAGGTAAGAAATAAGTTAAACCTCAAGCCATTAAAATTAAAAATGGATACTGTAGCTGGCAAAGGTATAGTACAGAAACAAGACCTGAGAAGCAAAACTACCGGGATACAATGTAGATTGATACAAGCAGTACAATGAATACTACATGAGTCTGTGCACAGGGACACTGCAGTCTTCTGAAGATATGAACTAACTCTTGGAAATAATCAAATTATGTCTCAGATAATCTGAGGCATTCTTCCTCTTAATTATTACTTTAGAACATCTTTAGTTCTATAAATTTGTTGCATTTTTAAGCCCCCTTTAATTTCCTACTTACATCCAATGGAAGTATTACTTGAGCTTAGATTTCTTGGGAGTTTGTCTTACCTATCACCATTTTAAGTTGAACAGAAATAATTCTAAATGTGAAATACTGTAGGATAAAAAAAGTTTTCTTCAATAAAACCTTGCCCACCCCAAGGGTACCATCAAACTTATATTATTATGATCATTGTGCTCATATGAGATGAATGTGTCCCTATGGGCATTAGTATGCCATATCAAAGCTCAAAAAGTAAACCTACTCTCAACTCTCAAACACTGTCACACAGCCATAATGTTCTTAAAGCCCACAATGGTTGGAAGTCACACAGTTTGAAGAGTGTCATTTTCAGCTTTGTTGACCCAAGAAAGTGACTCATTCTAGTTTGACTGGACCTCAGTATTTGAGTGTGATAGATTGGCCATGACATGCGATAGTGACAGACACAATAAGCCTCAAAGCCATTCCTTACTTGTATTGATAGTGGGTCAGTAGGATTATCAAGTCAATCTCATTTTGACAAGGTTTTTACTGTTCTAGCTACAAGCAGTACAATTATGTACATGGTTTAATTTGACGCCATTCTTATGAAAGTTTTTTTTTATGTTAAAAGTTTGATGAAATTCAACCGATCTTTTTCAAATGATATTACATTTTTGTTGTCATTATAAACTTTATTTTGGGAATATACAGGCATCTCTCCTAAACTGGTGTAAAAATCATGAATAAAAACCTTCTTTCTCTTCTACTTTTAAACAAAATTTACATTCAGCAATGATGTATTTCTGTAGAAATGTACAATCTAGTTTTTTTATCATATAGACTGGCGCTGCTCAGTGGCTGCCGGGCTCACAATCAATTGGGCAAAAAGAATTTTTATTTTGGTTTAATATAATTTGGAGTGGACTAAAAGATTATTATTATTATTATTATTATTATTAATCATAAATACGAAAAGTAAAATTCAATCTTGTAATGTATTTTAATGTATATGTTCACCTTTCTAAATCAAAATTCATAGCAAATTTTAGAGTGAATGCGTTGGGTTAATCTAAGGTTAAGCTATAAGTAACTGTGTAGTGCTTGTTTGTCTGGCCATTTTATATAATGTTAAGGTGTCTAGAGTGTGATGGATGAGATTTCAATTATAAAACTGACACTGTCCATGCAATTAACAGGTTGTTCATTAACTACATTATATGAGGAGTAATGGCAGAGAGGCTTATATAAAGTCATTAAATGTATAGAGTATGATAGATATTGAAGGATATAGGAGGGGCCTTGGACACTAAGGGACAATAGTATCACCTGTGAGAGCCAGAGGGTAGCAACTCTGTGTAATAGCGTATGAGTTAATGCTCTTCTTGCATTTAGCAGACGATGTATGATTCAAAGAAGTTGAGTAAGAGAAAAAGAGTTGGAATTGAAATGAATATGATGCTTGATGAACCAGCAGGAGATGCTTTCAGACAAAGAGGGTGATTGTAAATAGGATGATACAAACTGTATGTGTACATATAGGGGCAGAGAGACAGGGACCTTGGACATATGAAATGGAGAAAGACAGAGAGAGAGAGAGAGAGAGAGAGAGAGAGAGAGAGAGGAGAGAGAGAGAGAGAGAGAGAGAGAGAGAGAGAGAGAAATGGTTGAATATGCTAAGAGTACTTCATTTAATATGTATAAAAGTATATAAAAGACTTTCAAGATATCAACTTTAGGACAGTTCAATAGTCTAGTGCAGGATCTTATTAAAAATATACAAACCTGACAGTGACATAACACATTATGTGATCATGATCTTGATGGGCAGTACAATACAGCTTAGAAAATGCCCATCAGTTCATTTCTTGACAGTCTTTGTGACCATCTCTATTTTTATGAATCATTTAGTAATTTGCACAGTGATACAGGAATAGTATTTATAGTTTGGCAATGTAGACTAGCTAGCTACCTGTATCGTGCACGTTTGTAGTAGGATATTCTGACCACGTACATGTATAGTAAACATTTCTTTCATCTCGCTCCAATAGTCAGAGCAATCAAACCCTTCTTGCCGGCCCCATCCAGTCCCAGGCTAAATGTTCCATGGAAGAACCCATTAATGATCATACTATCATGTGAGGTTCATTGCCATCTAAATGTGCTTTCCTACATCATTACCTTTCTCTCGTAGAAGGCATTCAAGCTCATCATTATGCAATGGCTGACATTTGCTTAATGAGGTCTTGTGTCTTTCGCGAGTAATCAAAACAGTCCCTTTGCACGCAAGCTCCAACATACCAAGACATTGCAGTAGCATATCTTGCAGACAAACTGCCACCTGAGTACTCACCCATACTCCATATGATCACCCTTGTGCATTATAAACGAAACAAGATGGGATATACCTTCAAGGAACACAACATTATCTGTTAGTCGATCGTTAATAGTATTGTATTAATCGACCATCAAAACCAACTGTAGAATATAGAGTTGGCTGATATTAAGCATTAAAATATGAGCTAGTTTGTGTGTATGTGTATTTTTGTGGGCATGTCATGCAAGAAATCTTCCACTTTCATTATTTTAGTTGCCCAATCATCCATTTTGGTTGCCCCCGGATCGTGTTCTAACATTCATGGTGAACCCTTGTTACAGTAAAGTACCCATAATGCTGTAGCCTTTGATTTTTGATTCTATATTCTTGCATCTTCTCATCAATTTTACAAGAGACCTCCTCAATCATAAAACATCAGTCATGTCAAGACCCACTAATAGTCTTGTAAATGGAGTAAACGTTGAAAGCTAAAAGCACATGAAAGCCAAGCAATCTCACCTCGGAGTTCATATTCATAAATGCATCCCTGTATGCCGAGATCAATAAAATCATGTTCACAAAACGAAATTAATTATTTTTCTTCTGTTAAGAAATGATAAGACGTTTTGGCATCACCTGCTTAGGAAATTAGATCTTCTTTTGTAGCAAATGCACAGAATTTCTTTTAAAGGTACTGTCAACGTTTAAAATGGCATGTTGATAATTCAAACACTCTGCATGCTGTTTTATAAATACATTTTTTATTGGATGTATCCCTAAATTGACAATAAAAGGTAATTAGTTTAGCAAACTTTTTGATAATGACTCAGGTGGAATTCTTTTCACAATTCACCTTCACATGAGAAGCCTGTCAACGTACCAAAGCCTTTACGACACAAGTTCTACCTGTTTGGAGGGCAAAGGATGTAGCTTTCAAAACATATATGTTGAGATGTTTTTTCGTAAACAGGTGATCTATCATATAAACATTTTTGCAAGCTGCTGGCATAACCAATTTCACATACCATGTGCTAAGAATAAAATCCAAGCAAATTGAATGTGTAAAGAATATATGGGTCTCTGAACTAGATTTCTGAAATGTAAAGAAAACATCCCTTCAGATATTTGTAGCATGCAACATTGTAAAAAAAGACTTTTAACACGTCTTCTGTTGCAATGTAAAGGACGATCTGTCTCCAGTTAAGTTGATGTCAACCTGAAGCAAGAAAAGTAGCACTTACACCAATTTTCTTCAAAGAGTGCACCGCCTTATGTTTGATATTGCTCTTTTTTTATGAAATGTGAAAACGTTGAGAAAAAGGTAGATACAGAAAGAAGGAGGGGAGGAAAGAGAATAATGGATGGGAATAAAGTGTGATGTAATTAATGCAAGTATGGAAGGAAAGCTGGAGAAATGGAGAGAGAGAAACAGAGAGAAACAGAGACAGGGGAGAGAGAGAGAGAGAGAGAGAGAGAGAGAGAGAGAGAGATGGAGAGGGGGAGGGATGAAGGGTAATGGAGGAGAGACATAAATGTTGGATGTTAGAAACGCAAGTATGGAAAGAAAGCTAGAGGAATGGAGAAAGAGAGAGACAGAGAGAGATAAAGGGGGTGAAAGGTAATGGAGAAGAGACAGAAATGTGGGATGTAAGTAATGCAATTATGGAAGGAAAGATGGAGGAATGAAGAGAGAGAGAGAGAGAGAGAGGGGGGGGGGGGGGGAGAACTTATAGTTTTCATATGCAGTTATAATATCGCTGAAGGCTGAAAAGTTGAGAGATGTACACAAATGTTAGGTATATTGTGGAAGAGAGAGAGAAAGAGAGAGAGAGAGAGAGAGGAAGAGAGGATTGAGAACATGGAATTGTACAATCTAAATGCATGAGTTCAAACCCTCCAGCTCTCTCCACCTTTGGGTAGATTGCTTGAACAAATTTAGTTAGTCAAAAACCTGGCCATACTAACCTTGAAAGCCCATCATTGGTGGATACGTACGTAAAACCCAAACAAAATGGCCATGATGTAGAGCATGTTAGATTGAATAGACCAACCCATCCATTTCTCATTAAACCTTAACAAAGTTCCCTTCCCCTCACATCACGTACCATGACTTTACTCTTTCCTCTGATAGTTAATCTTTATGACGGCAATTTTATGAAGATAAATGGATGTTGTTATCGATGCGGAAAGAAAACAGGACAACTTCACATTTGCAAATATTCAAAACATTTTATAAAAGGGAAATGTTTCCTGAGATGTATCAGGAAATATTGATGATGTTACACAGTAGACAACTTCCGAACCAACTGATATGCATCCACTTACATGCTAATCACAAGTCATTAAATATTTACCACATTGTGTAGATCACCATATGCAGTAAAGCATTTAAAGTTCTAAGCA